CAACATTAGTTTAAGGAATTATTGACTTAGCTTAAAGTTTTTAATCGAAAAATCATGATAAATTTATGCTCCAATAAAAGTCTAATCATATTATTTACATTTACTAACGACTGCATTTCTCGTACTTGATTTCAAGGAATGTAGTCCTAAAGATGAGCAATTTCTGATGAATCCATTCGAAAGCATCTACAAGTGCTGTTTTAGGTATTAAATGTAATATTAAAAAATACGCCTTTAGGATAATGATCAATTTGTTACTGACTCAATAGTATAATAACACATGTACATAGTAAACCAGTTACGTAAGCTCTCTATAGTGTCTCTTTCTTATTGGCTTTTGAATTACCATCAAAATAATTAGCTAACGTCATCATGGGTGATCACAATGTTAGACTGTTATCTTGTCATTTCTCTTCCGATAATTTTAAATCTTACAGTAATAATGACCAAGGTATTGTGTAGAAAGATTTGTCTAAAGAGGGTCCTGCTTTCAGAAAAGTCTAGTTTGTTGTAGACATGAGCAATAACGTTATATTGTCATCGACAGCATTGCAAGATCCATCAGAGTCGATTATTTGCCGTCCTATGAGAAGAAGTGAAGAAACAAAAGTTAATCAACTTTGGCAAACAGCATTCGAACCGAAAAGTAATGGATATTTTGAATGATATTTTTCGTCTGAAGCATTACCTCGTTATCAGGAAGGAGATACTTTAGGCGCTTGGTTACCTAATGATCAATTAGCCAGCGTTGTATATATTCGACGGATGACATTGAAATCAGCCAATCATGAAATGTTCCTTTGTGGTGTTGTTTCCAATTTAGCTACTCTCACAGAATTCAGAAACCGATGTCGATCACGGCAGCTTCTTATACAAGCAATCGAGAAAATGAAACACGATGGCTTTAATCTGTCAATATTCGGTACTGGACGTTCTCACCATTATTTACCATTAGGCTGGAAATCTGTCTCCATGAGAATACACTTTGTCATTCAAATACCTGAGGATGTTGTGAATGACGGTGACATTCTGCCATGGATCTCACCGTCTAAGATAACTTTTTAAGCTCAACTTGTCGAACTCCATTCTTTACATTCTCGTTCTTATCAGTTTGATCAAGATTCGACTTTATTGTTCGAACATTGGATCGGTTGACATTGACAGGATGATTTGGCTTATATTAGTTTGTTGTCAAACAAACGAGGATATGTAGTCATCAGTCAGCGAAGTGGAAAAAATGGTCATGTCTATATATGTGAATGGTGATAAATTGATGCTGCTGAAATAAAGAAGAGATACGGTTGCAATAATTTTCTTCTTCATACACTTTCTCAATATATATCTCTGAAGTCATTGTGTTGTAATCGTAACGATTCGATCTTTGAAAAACAAAATGATGGTATCATGATACGAAATATTCGATTGGCAGATGATTTTCTCCAGAAGATTAAAGCAGCTTTTGACAGAGAATATGGACAAGCTACATTTTGATCACAAGAGTACTTTTGAATTAAATCAATTGTAGCGCCGTCTTTCATCACTGTTTATTATATAACAAAATTAATAATGATTATACGATTCAGGTTATTTCTATTTATAAATTTTTGAAAATTATTGAAGAGATTTATGTATTTGTCACAGGCAAAATTAAACTTTAGGCAAAATTGAATTTATATTAGGCGCAAAATTTTAGCTGTTTTTTTTTATTTAGAAATAGTTCTAAATTATCGTTTGCATTTAGAAACTTCAGCAGATCGATCGACCATTTCATTATTGAACATATCTATAGTCTTTGCGCAGATATGACTGACATGATACATTTTCTACATTAAAGTAGCAAACAAAAAGTCTTATGCATAAAAGAAGTCATTCTCAATTTATACAATATTAACTTATTTCTTTTTTTTCAACGATATTTTTTCGTCTGACTAGTAAAAAAATTCTTTTAATGTCAGAGAATATCCGCTATCGAATGGTAAACATGTGATGGCTACTAATAATCATCATTTGGATCAGTTGTCTGATGATCGTCTCTTATTTTTTCTATATTAATTATGAAAGGCTGCTAGTTATGTATGAAAGTGTTGATAAAAAACAACAAGTGATTTTCACTTTTATTGTTATCGTCTTTCTCAAAAAAACAAAAACTATTCTCAAAAAAAATATTCACAAGTCAGATTTTATTTTTTATAATATTTCTTTCCTTCCCTGCTTTCCTCTTTTTTTTTGATTGGTTAAAAACCATGAAATAATTTGATGATCAATAGAAATGAGAAATCAATATTCTCTATGCGTTTAATTTACTTCACATTGTACAACGTTGCTTTTTGATGAGCTCCTCTTTTCCTGTTAAACTAAGAATGAAAAATAACCGATCGTTTATTAGGTAACTGATAAGAAAAAGGAACGATATTTTATTTTTACTATTATTAATTTTAATAATAGAAAAATAAATTAACCTGAAACCATATAATTACTACGTATGGTTTTATATTTTCTCGTTTTTCTTTACTCCTTCTTTCTCCCCTCTTTTCTAATTTTATTTCTGTAAGCAGCTAAAGAATATTCTGATGGTAAAGAAACTTGAAATCAGGTATTCTACATTTATTTTCTTTTTTTAACATCAAATGATATCACTTTTTCGATAATTATCTCTTTTTCTAAACTACGAGTGAAGTGTAAACGATCATCTGTGAACAGAGTGACAACACACAAATTGATACTTTAATTTTATTACTGTTATCTTCGAAACACAAAAAACCATTCTAGAAGGATACGATTACTGATTACATTTTCATATTTTATTATCATTTGCCGTTTTTTTTTATTTTTCCTTTTTTTGGTCGAACAATAGTTAGAAAATAATTTTCGTGGTACAGAAACTTAAAACTTAATATTCTATAGCTATTCCACTTAATATCATATAGTATCGATTGTTTTACGATCATTTCTTTTTCTAAACTGTGACTGAAATTTAACCAATCATCTATAAAGTTACTAAAAAGACAAAGCTACCCAGTCAGACAAGTGTTGAAAAAAACGACGTTTTTACGCGTTAAAAGCGCACATTTTTAAGTGTTAAAAAAAAATTTTTTTTTTGAAGAAAAAGCAAGTTTGCAAATATTAAGGTTATGAAATTCATTTTTAATAAGAAAAATATCTTTTTCCAACGCGTAAAAACGTCGTTTTTTTCAACGCTTGTCTGACTGGGTATTGCTATTATATCATTTTTGTTATCTTTATTAAATACAATAGTTTATTGTCAAAGCAGTCAACTAATTATGCTATATAATTATTACTCTCTATCTCTTCGCCTTCAGCTTCTTTTCTCACGAAATCGATATTATATCTTTACGTTTAAAAGATTTAACTCTCTATACTAAAATTTACCCAAAGCAGATCATTTTAACAAATCTTCTCATTGATCAAAATAACAAAACAGAAATAGCTAAGTCACCGACTAGAATATAATTAGCCGCTCATGAATTTACCAAAGCGTAATAAATAGACGGTTGTCACTACTAGTGTTTAAACACCGCTCTATACTAAACACATTTTAGGTTAAGATCATCCACTTACAATAACAATTACCAAACTCCATATCTTCCTCAAACTAATCACTATTTTCCAAGAAAGAGACTAGTGAACTCTACATCTTCCAAAACCTTATACTATTTTCAATAGAAATAGATAGTGAACTCTACATCTTCCAAAAGCTAATACTATTTTCTATAGAAAATAGCTAGCGAACTCTGAATCTTTCTCAGCGTAATGGTAGTTTCGATAGAAAACAAAATTCATGGATCTTATGTTTCAAATTTATCGTGTACTTTTGAGTGAAATAGATAAAAATTAAAATATTGCTATTCTGATTAAATCACTAATAACGTGAAGTTCAGTTTAATTTAGTTTTAATTTTTAAAATCTAAGTTTAATTTTGCCTAAATCTCAATTTTGCCTGACACATATTTGTTCAATTTGGAATTCAAGACTCACCGTCAATTCGTTTGATCTAACTAAATCTCAGTAATCAAGTCGAGTTCAAATTGTTTCATTGAATTTGGAATAAAACAAGTTGTATAAATCCAACTGTATGTAAAACTATTGATAACGAACCCAGATCGACAAATTATACAGTAAGATCTTATAAGATCCTACGTCTGATCTTATATGATCTTGTAAGATCAGACGAAAATCGTACAAAAAATCGTGGTTCATGCAATCTTATACTAATTCGTACTATAAGATCCATGCAAGATCTTGCTGTCCGGTAAGATTTTACTATAAGATTATAGGAAATCTTATGTGACAGTAAGATCTTGGATGGATCTTATAGTATGACTTAGTATAAGATTGCATGAACCACGATTTTTTGTACGATTTTTGTAAGATTTCGTATGATCAACAAGATCTTATGTCCGATTTTTTGATCTGGGAAGAATTTCTCAGCTATTATCATGGAATTTATAATATACATGTAATGACTCTTGATATGATATAAATAAAAACCATAAGCATGTTCCTTTATCAATGCTTGCGTCTTGCCTTTCTGCATATTTTCTTTTTGACATAAGTTTTAAATACCCCCATGAGTCATGTTTTGTTACTCTGTTCTGTGATCTCCCTGGAATATAATGATAGGCTTCGCATATGTATTTTTCCTTTATCGCAATAAAAATACTCGTTTTTTTCCATTTGTCTTTCTATTGCGACTCATAAAATTTCGTCATATGTTACTCAACGTTATCCTTGTTTGCTCTCTTGACTTTATCACATTCTTCATCATTTTGTTTCTGTCTTCATTTATATTGCGTTTCAACATATACGTATCAGAAGCATATTAAGCCAAGGATAATTCGACAATGGCATCGTCTAATACGACAAATGATAATTATAATATCGTTTGTGATCGATTGTTTTCTCTGAAATCTTGGCAATACGAAGAAAAATCATCTTTACTTAACATGATCGTCAAATAGATGAGTCTATATAAGAAACTAATGCCGAGCAAACTCGAAACAAATCTTCGACATTTGCGTGAACTTCTAGCAGAACGTCTCGTTATTGAACCTATGTTACCAGTAGAAACGATTCTTAAAGTTATTCGATCCGATGAAATTCCGTCTGATGTCTGGTTGGATTGTCTGCGTGCTGCAGTTCAAGCTGAAATGGATGATTCTAGGAACTCTACTTCTATTTCATTCGACTTCGCACCAGTTATTGTGCCAAAAGTTGATTTCAATCGGCAGATATCTGATTCAGCTTCAAACATGCAACGATCTCAACTGCGAGACCAAGACCAAAGGTATTTCATTCTCTTGTATTAAAACTACGTATTTAATTGTGACACTATACAATGTTTAGTGCGTTTGATCAACTTGACTTGGACGATATTTATCTCACACATCAGCTTCTTACATCTGGAATGTTCTCAAAAATGAGCACGCCATCAACACCAAATCTACTGGCTGAAATAGATGAACCGTTAGATGTCTATCAGATGACTTTGCAGGAAAATCTTGCGGAATTATCACAATTAAAATGGGATCAACCAGCAATAAATACAATGCGAAAAAGATTTAAGAGTCCAGAAATATTGAATGATATCACATCATTAAAAACAGCCTTACTAGTCGTCGAAACCATTGTTACAAATGGAATATCATTGCGGACGCATATTGAACGTATTACTGATAAAATTATCTCACATCCAGCCCATCAATGGATGAAAGAATTAAACAAAATTGTCGATGAACAAGGCAAAGCTAAATCAGTTCATGTACTCCTTGAAGAGTTAGCTCGCGAAAATCCATCTTTAAATATCAGTGACTTAAAGAATCAATACGATGAAGTAATGTGCTACTATCATACAGAAACATCTCAAATGACATCGGCACATTTTCGAGAACAGCTCAAATTCCGAAATCAGTTCCATAAAATTGCTGTCATCATTCAAGCGGTACATCTCTTTAAGCAATATCGTCCGAGAGACATTCAAATTTTATCTCTTCTTCTTCTAATTGGAAATCCCGGTCACGACCAAGGTCGTTTAGCACAAATACGCACTGGTGAAGGCAAATCAATCATTGTTTCCATGTGTAAGTTCCATGAATAAAATCTCACATTAAAATGAATCTAAATAAGCTGTTTGCAGAAGTTTTTCGACTATGCTGAGTGTACTTTTATTTTAGTGGCCGTGTATCTTTCACTTTCTCCAATTAATAAACGCGTTGATATAATTACAACTTCTGAAATTCTTGCTCAACGTGATGCTGCTGAATTCTCACCTTTCTACCGAATGTTTGGTCTTTCAGTTGGTCATAATTGTTGTGATCCTGAAACGAAACCAAATTACAGTGTTCATATTGTTTATGGAACAGGTGCACATTTTGCCGGCAATCTCTTACGAACAGATTTTTATTTAAAAACAGAAATACGAGGAAACCGTCCTTACGATGCAGCTATTGTTGATGAAGTTGATAGCATGTTCATTGATCAACGTCAGCATTATACACAATTAGCATCGCTAACACCAGGGTACAAGTCTCTAAACATTATATTGAGATTCATATATTCATTTTTTCAAAAATATAATATTACGGAAAACAATGAATTCGTCATTGGACAAAACGACGGATACTATAAAGGTAAGTAAATGTGTTTTTACTAGAATATAAAATATTCAAATAAAAATTATTGGATTTGTAGCCGATGCATTAAAATTCATCCGTGGTAAAATGACCGAGAAAGAACTCATTCGCTATTCAGCCTATCGTCAAGAATACATACATATGAAATTACCTAAATGGATAAAAGGTGCGAAACAGGCACTCTATGGCTTAACACTCAATGTTGATTATGTCATTAGTAAAGATGGGCGTATTGTTGTCGTAGATTACGCTAATACAGGGGTGTCTCAATTGAATATGCACTGGAGCAATGGTGTGCATCAGTTTCTCGAATTGAAACACAATTTACGTATGACACCTGAACGTATGTGTGATTCATTCTTTTCTAATGTTACTCTATTCAAACGATACCAACCTCATCTATATGGAGTAACAGGGACTTTGGGTGGGAAAGATGCACGAAATTTCATTCGATCTGTGTACAAGATCAACGCTTTCAATGTACCTAAATATATAGATAGTGTTTTTGAAATTTATACAAGTAAGTTCTACTTTTGCATACAAGCAAGTACTTGTCCAAAGATTTTTGTTTTATTTTTCTCAATAGGTAAGTTCAGTCAAGTCCATGAACAGTGGTTGAACAACATTTGTAATGAATGTCATACGATAGCTATCCGTAATGGCCGAGCTGTACTAGTTATTTGTGAAACGATTCGTGAAGTTGAAGAAATTCAATCAGTGCTGCGTTTTCAGAATATGCATCTCAAATTATATCTTCGAAGTGATCTCGCTGAACATGTTAAGCCTGAAGAAGTCCATCAAGGTGATGTGATTGTGGCTACGAATCTAGCTGGACGTGGAACAGATTTGAAAACCATGACGGCCGTTAATGAACGAGGCGGTCTACATGTAATTGTGACATTCATGCCAAGAAACTCACGTATCGAACAGCAAGCTTTTGGACGAGCAGGGCGTCAAGGGCAACCGGGCTCAGCTCGATTAATCCTTTACCATGAACGAATCGGTCAAGAACTCGACGGAAGAGTTGATGAAGCTACAATAGTTAATATTTGGAAACATGCCAGAGACGAACAAGAAGAAAACGAAATGAAAGATGGTATAGCAGAAGTAAAACGTGTCGAGATGAAAGATAAACTGCTCATTCGCTTTCTTGATATAGCACATTCACAAAAAACTAAACTCTCATTTGCTGATGACATTTTCAAACCAGGATTTAGTTCATTACGTGAATTATGGGCTTCAATTGTTGATGCAGATGAAGCTACAGCAGAACGGCGTTATTCAAAATTTGAGACAGAGATTCAAAAACGGATGATGGATTCAATTGCTATTTTAAATAATCATTCTTCTGAGGATGCACAAAACTTAATCAATGTTCAATTTCAAGCAGTAAGCCAATTGATCGTTCATCCAAAATATTTTATTTATGCTGGTTTTCATGCCTTCTGTACAGATAACGTGAATGATAGAAAAAGCCAAGCGTTGACCTTATATCGACGTGCATTAGGCATCGATCCACATGACTTCATCGCTCATTATAATACAGTACCATGTCATATTGAAAATAGTCAAACTTCTGTCGATAGAGCTATTCAAGCGATGAATGAAGCTATTCGATTGTTAAATCAAGAAATAGAAACACGCAAAATATTGGAGATTTTTCATGATCCACCAATGTCGGACGAGGGTAGCAAGGCTGTATGTAGACGAAAAGAAGAAATAATTCGAGCTTATTTATCTAATTCTATTTTCTTAGGCTCATGGACCATCGATCAAACAAGTCTTGCTGAATTGATCTATCTTCAAATTGTTCATTCAACTTTTGAACAGAGTCGTGAACAATTGAGACAATTCGATGAAAGTAAACATGATATATCCTGTGAGTTTAAACATTGGCCAGAAACATTGGAATGCTTAAAAGGAACTAAATTTGAGCCATTAATAAACCATATTAATGCCGAACGTGAAGAATGACTTGCTGAAGGACTAATGTGGCGTTATGTATTCGTTATTGAGGCAAAACGTTGCTGGTGGAAAACTGTGTTCGTATTTGTTATGGGAGTCGCGCAGATCGTCAGTGGGGCTTATTTATGTTTGAAAGGTCAATTAAGACTAGGTACATCATTGATCCTTGACGGAGCTCTCGACATTTACAGGGCTGTTGGTAAGTAACTAGGTAGTAGATATTCTGTTACAGGTAATAGAGAAGTTTCAACGTATTTTAGCGACAAAAATTACGGCTGATTTCGATCTGGTTGACTATTTTGAAGCCAAGGTAATTAAATATGGTAAATTACTATTAACCCCAGGTGGATCCGTAGCCGGATGTCTCGAACCGATTGCATCCTTAGAAAAAATCAAAATGATCGGAGTCGCCATTGACGCTGTTCGCCAAATTGATAAAAACGGGTTCATTGTGGAAAATCTAACACAGCTTGCTTCCAGTGGAATGGCACTTGCAGGAGTCGATCAGGCAGCAATTGATTTTGTTCAAAAGTTGCCAGAACGTGTGAAAGATGCAGAAGCTTTACTCAGTGGTGATTTAGATAGAATATTGGAACGAGGTGCTTTGGCTGGTCTTCCTGTTGGTGCTGTTCAACAGATTGTTAAAAATGGATTCACTGTAGAAAGTGTAACACAACTTGCCATGAATGGAATGAAAATGGCAGGAGTGGATCAAAAGACCATTAATCTAGTGCAACAGTTACCAGAACGGATCAAGGACGCGCAAGCGTTGATGAGCGGTGATCTAGATAGAATATTGGAAAGAGGAATGTTGGCTGGCTTGCCTATTCAAGCTGTTCAAGATATTAGAAGAAATGGCTTTTCTGCAAATACCATCACTCGACTCGTCGCTGATGGAATGACACTTCAGGGTATCGATAAAAAGACAATCGACTTGGTTAAACAACTACCCGAACGAATTCAAGATGCTGAAGCTTTGCTTAGCGGTGATATAAATAGAATATTGGAAAGAGGCAAATTAGCCGATCTTCCTCTCAATGCTATTCAACAGATTGCTACGCAAGGCTTTTCTGAAGAAACTGTGGCGAAACTTGCCGCTGATGGCATGTTTATTGCAGGTGTGGATCAGAATACGATTGATTTTGTTAAAAAACTACCGGAACGAGTTCGTGATTTACAGGCTATAGCAAATGGTGACCCGTCAGTTATGTTAGAATATGCTGAGTCAATGGGCCTTCCTGTCGATGCAGTTAGGCTGATTGTCAACAAGGGTTTTTCCGCAGACATGGTCACACAGCTGGCTCTAGAAAGTATGACTATGGCAGGTATCGACTCAAATAAAATAAATTTCGTTAAAAAACTACCAGAACAAATTAAGGATGCGCAAGCACTGCTGAGTGACAATATAGATCAAATATGTAAGCGTGGTATGTTAGGAGACCTGCCTGTCAATAATGCTCGCCAAATTTTTGAACATGGAGTTTCTCCAGAAACTGTTAGTCAATTCATTGGCAGTGGAATGAGTTTGTCAGGCGTTAATCAAAACATGATTGACTTAGTCAAACAGCTTCCAGAACGAATGAAACATGCACAAGCATTACTCAGCGGTGATATTAATACAATGCTCGAACGTGGTATGTCAGCTGGTCTTCCACTCAATACTGTTCAACAGATTGTCAAGCAAGGCTTTTCTCCCGAAACAGTAACACAAATTGCTCTAGAGGGCATGACTTTGGCTGGTGTCGATCAGAAACAAGTAGAATTCGTGAAAAGAATACCTGAAAAAGTCCAAGGTGCTCAAGCATTGATCGATGGTGATCTAAATGAATTATTAATACGAAATATGTTTGGTGGCGTATCTATTGATACTCTGCGCGAGTTGGCTTCACAAAATAACTCGGTAGAAATCGTCAAACAAATCGCTCTCACAGGAATGGCGATCGCAGATATCGATGAGAATGCGCTGAACTTTGTTAAAAAGATTCCAGAAAATATTAAAAATATGGAAAGATTTCTTAATGGAGATTTGGATCAATTATTCAGTAAAAACATGTCAGGCAGTATTAATCAACTATTGGGAATGTTCAATGAGAACTCATTGTTCAGCGGTAAAGAAAAAGAGATATTTCAACTTGTTCATCGTCAAATGTCTATGGTAGAAAACATGTTTAATGGTGATGGTAAAGCTGTTCTTTCGAATGCTTTGAATACATTGAATAGACAAGTCGGTAGTCTACCAGTAGGAGAGTTACTAGAAGTTGCTCTACCAAGTGCTCTTCAGCGTGTAGCCGATCGTGAGCAAGAAGCTATTCATAACCTATACAAATCAGTCTTAGATCAACTCAAATCTATTAATGGCGGCTTCAACGAACAGAAAATTCAAGTAATTCAACAGATTCTACAATCTTCTAACAGATGGAATACATTCGAAAGGAAAAAAACATCAATTGGATGATAATATTTGTAGAATATTGTGTCCAGCAGTTGAACGTGAAAAACGATTCCGAGAAGCTTGTGAAAGTTTGGCTACAGGCGACTTAACACTTCAACATTGTTGTCAAGCTTTAAAGATGAAGTTCGAAGACACTCAGAGACGAGCATCTGATTTAAAAAGTGCAGTTGAGCGAAGTTGTAGGGATGGTAATTTTCTATTGAAACAAGCGATGGGCGAATTGGTCGACGAAATAAGTCATCTTAAAAATCAAACTAAAAGTCCTGAAATGGTGAAGTTACTTAAAGAACATTTTAACCAAACTGTCATAGGACCATTTGCAGAGCAGATGGGCGAACGAGAAATGGATCTGAATGACGCAGCTCTCGTTGATCAATTTACAAATGTTCTTACTTATCTTCAAAACCAACAGGCTCGAACTAGATGAATACAACATCTTACCTATGCTGTATTGATCTTCAAATCCTCTGTTTTTGAAAGAACCATTTTTGCATGTTTATTAAATCTTTTCATTTCGAACACTAATACAAGAAATAGTTCAAGTATTATCAGTTAACATATGGTGTGGGTGTGGGGTGCGTTTTTTGTCTTCCCCCACACCCACCCACACCCTCTCCAAATGGTAAAATTTTATGCAGCCGTTATACACTTTTTCATATTTATGATAAAAAGAGACGAGGCAATTCGCAAACGTGAAAGTAGTTAGTAAATGTTCTATGATTGTTCTTTCTTTTGATCTTAAATATTCTGTTGTGACTGAACAAAGACTTGATATATTGGTATGAACATTGCTCGATCGATGATAATTTACGGTTGACAGTACTTAATTATCTGCAAAACTTCACAAATTAATTTTGCGTACTCTGAGTATGTCTCAAGGGAAAAACTGATACCTATTCGTCTGCTTTAAATTGAAAAGTGATCAATTGTGGAACAGTTTGAAGTCCAAATGAACGAACTACTAAAATAGTTATGATAATGCAGCAGAATATAAGTATGTTGTTTCCGATCATCAGATTTATGAATCCTAATTCTGGAAGTGTATATTTTATATCTTAAAAATAAATATCATGCAGGTGAAACTATTATTTTCTTTTTGCATGTACTCGATGAAGCTAGTGTTTCAAACTTAGAAAATAAGTTTCAAAAACATACTCGCATAGCTGTTACATAAAGTGGAAAATGAGCAGCCCATTGGACAGGAATTAATGGTCGAATGAGTGGCAGTAGACCATACAGTAACATATTTCTCAATTCAGTTGCTGTATAAGAGTAATCATAATGTATGTAAAAATTTCAATACATACACACTTGTAAGAGGAAAATTCTTTTTCAGGACGCATCTTTCGGTTAAAAAAATGAGGAAAAGGCTGATGACGAAAAGGTTCATTAATCTCATTCCTTTGTTTTTGTGTTAAATATTTTTGATAAAGACACTGATAAACAGTACGTATATGTCACAAAAGCGACACATGCATGTAGTCTATTACTAAACATCGAGGCAAAGGAATATCGAGGATGGTACAAAGAGGAGAAATTTCAAGATGACTAAAAAACATTTTCTTTTTACCGTTCTGCTTCTCTTGAATAACGTGCATAACTAGTTACGGAGCGAAGAGTTGTCGTTTTTCAAAATGATATTGTCGTTTGTTGTTAATATGAACATCTCGTATATAATAAAACCAACAGCACCAATAGCCTTGATGATTGATGTGTTCTATTGCCAAATTTATTGCTGGGCAATCCCCGGTAAGCCCATATACCAGCACCTTATAATTAATACCATATCGAGTAGAGACACCTACAGTCGTAAAAAACATTAGTTTTTTGTTATAAGAATCATCCAGTTTTATTCACAAAATGATCAACGGAAGATTGAAACGACAAATATAATACTTTCAGCAGTCAATGTAAAAATTTTGTAAGTATGATGGTATCTCACATTATAAAAAGTGGATAGAACAAAATATTCAACATTTTTTAAACAAAATCACGCTATATAATACGAGAGAAAACCTTACGAAAGAATTAAGTTATTTTCTTTCGAACTGATGTTTTTTGAAGAATTGTTCTCTTCTTACGACTGATCTCAGTTCTATACACTGGATTTACTATTATTGTTTAGTGAATCTTATCAATCACATACATTCATAAATACCTTTTTTCTTAAGATGATTCAGTTGATTTAAACATTCGAATAACCATAAATTAATAAGTGGTTCCTGATGACCTATCTAAGCGGAAAGAACAATCATATTAAAGCGACGATATCGTAGATGAACAGGAAGCTCAATAAAACTACAAGTGAACGACCATAACTTAAGTTTACTTGATTTACACAAATTAATGCCGTCTAAGTGTAACAATAATGAAATAAATGGCGATGAACCATATTTATTTTGAAGTTCTTTATAGACTTGATTAAATATAATATCATTGTTGTTGTCTGGTGATAAATGGTTGACTATAATTTGTTTTCGATTATCTTCAATGTCTGGTAAAAGAAATCTAACATTCGTGTAAATACCAATGATTGATTAACATCAAATACACTAACAATTGATTTATCAGTGAGTCAATTGCACTTTAAACATATTTTGTCATTATGGAACAAATTATTATGGCATTTAGTACGAATTAATCTTTTAACAAAAAGTTGTTCAACTAAAAAGAAAATGCAGAAATTATAGTTTTTGATAAAGTACTTATGTTTTTAGTAGCTTTGTTTAAGAGGTTCAGAGTAGCTTATATTATTTTACTCAAAGCTGATGACTTACCTTGTATTGAATCATATAGAGCTTTTTATATTGTGGGTGAGTTATGAGGTTGTAGAAGAATACTACTAATTAATGTGAGAATACGAGAACGATGTATGTTACTAATATTAGCATCTCTGACAATTTCAATCAATTGTTTACAAAATTCGTGTGTCTTGATAGTGGCATGTGAATGAAGAAAGTGACTATTTTGATTGTTATTCGATGAAAATAAATCATCTAATAAAAGCAGGTCATCTTGTTCTTCACTCAGCACGTCGCAATGGAAATTAAGTTCAGATTGAAATTCAATTGTATCCTCTTCGGATGAAAGAAGACCAAAATCATCAACAATATCCAATGTTTCATCGGTATCTGTTAACACTTGATGTATCATTTCGATGTGAATATCCGAATCTTTATCCATTTGATTATCATATGTTGTTGTCAAAGGTTCGCTAGTTGTTACTGTTGGACATATTTCATTTTTGCTTCGACAACGACGACGATTATTGTCTTGTTCTTTCATGTGTTCTAACTGCTGTTGAGCTTGTTTCATAGGAATACGAAGGTGCTGATACATGTTTTAGAAAAATATTTTGATTAATAACAATAATAGAAAGATAATCTAAATAACAAGATTTAACAAAACTTAGGATACAAAATAGTTAATAATAGTTGATAAAACTTATTTGATAACTATATTCTTGTATTTCGATATGAGAGGAACCTTATCTAAATAATGATATACGAATATGAACAAAAAGATTAAAAAAATGCAGACACAAACTTAAGAAAGCTTTTAAAAGTTTGAACTTCATTATTGTTTTTTCGAACTTTTTACTTTTATTAACTTTACATGAACAAGGACATCCTTATTTTTTCGAAACGAAACATCTGCCATACTTCTACAAATAATTTTTTTCTTTCACATTTCTGTTCATTTAAATGATTCTCATCTTCTTTCTCTTTCTTTACTAAATTCCTATTCGTTATACCAAGTCGACTTTTATATTCGCATTGGATGTCGCACGTCGTATAAAGTCAAGCGTTCTGTAAATATAGAGATAAAACTATTATATGAAATTATTCAATACAATTTCTTTCGGTATAAATTTCTACATGACGTTTCTCTAACTAGCTATGTAGAATGTATAAGATAACCAATACATAAGTTATCATACAAAATCGAGTGTAAAAAAAGTCAAATGCATGCGTACATTAATACATACCCAGTGAAAAAAGTATTCGGACACCTAGATGTTTTTTCTCGATTTTTGTAACAAAAACAAAAGATAAATTTTTCTCTTTTATAAAAGATAAAACCGTTTGGTTTTTTTTTGATCGATAGACCTAACGAAGGCCATCAAATAGCGAAAAAAAGAAAAGTTTTATCTTCTGTAAAAAGAGAAAATCTCATCCTTTTTTTCTTACGAAAATAGTGGAAAAACATATGTGTCCAGATACTTTTTTCACTGGGTGTATCGAATAGAAATTAAATGAATAATCTGACAGATTGAAAATGCCATCTTTTTAGGAAAACATCTCTTAGCTATTTTTGATTGACTTCAATAGTGAATTTACTTATTATCATCTATAAAACACGCAAGACACCATTTTTCAGCAAAGAACTCAGCAAAAATTAAAAAAGAGATTGTCCATAGTTTTCTACGACAGTAAATATCATAAGAGGCTAGCAAGCTCATTGCTAATCATTAAAAAACATATTGCATAAAGATAAATAAAGTGGAAATTTTGACATAAATAATTTGTAAAAGTATGGCAGATGTTTCGTTTCGAAAAAATAGCGCTATCCTTG